CGGTCCAGTAGTCTTTACTTCAGGACAGAGACTATATTGTAACTTACTATACATACTTTTATAATGTACCCTTGTTATAAGTTACCTTATGTAGGATTTTTAAGGGGGAGGAGGAGACTTAATTTTTGCACTAAATAAATGTGTATATACAAATTTACCTCGACACATCTGGTATATGTACTTTTATAAGTTGGATTTTAAGAAGGGGAGACTTAATACCGCCGCGCGTTTCAGTGTAGCAGGGTTCATATGAACTCGTACATTACAAAAATTCCCGGAACGCTTCCGCGGCCGCCTCTGTGTGGCCAGAGCATTATTGTGCTAAATTAATGTATATAAATAATTTATTTCGGGATCGACCCATATTGTATGGGGAATTTTGAAGGGGAAAGTTAATTCATGCACTAAATGAGTATATATACCTACATGTATATGTAATAAACATCTGAATCGACATATCGTCTGCTTAAAGGTAAAACCACGTAAGTGACATTTTCCACAAAAAATCTCCAAATTACATACCTAAGAAATGCGCCATCTTTCTGCAAATAAAACTCTTATTAAGTTTATCTTTTTTGTTATTGAATTTCACGTGCAGAAAGATGGTAATTTTCTTACCGTAGGTATATAAATTAAAGACTTTTTGTGGAAAATGTCACTTATGTGGTTTTAGCTTTAAACAGACGATATATGGTATATTTAGTTTTATAAGTTACCTTATGGCGGACTTTTAAGTAGGAGGAGACTTAATTCTTGCAATAAAAAAATGTATTTGTACTAATTTACCTCTGGGTCGACACATATGGTATATGTACCTTTGTAACACTTTATAATGTACTTTTGTTATAAGTTACCTTATGACGGAATTTTAAAGGGGAGACTTAATTCTTGTACTAAATGTGTATATAGTAAAAATGCTTAAGTAACTCAAAAGCGACCATAAACTATTCCCGACTCTCGTAACAAGTGCGTTACTGACAACGTTTTAACGTTAACGTTTGTCAAATGCGATACGTACCTACATATAGATATTTTTGTACCAGCTTTGATATCACGGTTATGGAATTTTTGGCGCTCTAGTTCAAGCAACAATAAACACGTCTAAACGAACGCTTCAATTCTATAACGAATGGCGCGTGTGTCGACCCGCGGGAAGCACTTGTAATGCACTCTTCAACACTCTTACATTCGCATTTTGTACTAAATATTATACCAAAGCTGGTATAAAAATATCTTTATGTAGATACGTATTGCATTGGACAAACGTTATTTCAATATGGCCCGAGAACACTGATAAATAAATTGTGTTTTAATTTGGAAATTTGTTTACAACCTGTAGGTACAATTAAAATAATAATGTGACAACCCTAGAGAAGTGTTGGTATTGATGCGCCAAACAGACGGGAGTTGCCCTACTTATTCTACTATCCGTGGGGCCCAGGTTTTATACGTAAGAATAAGGTACTGGGACAAATAGACCATTGTAAGAAAGATAACTTCAAGAACACTACATAGAATAACCCCAGGCTTGAAAATGTTGAAGTCCGTTTTTGGCCCTAGTCTCTCTTTTTCGAAGATGAGTAAAATGACATTTGCAGGGTTGCCAGTTTTCATAAAATTTTACGTAGTCATGTAGTACTGTCGACAGTTTTATCGATAGATTGTGAAAGTAGGTAAAAATGACTGAATTGTGAATGTTACAACGTTCTAATGATTACTAATTGTGTTCTTTATTCTTATTTTGACATTTGGTTTATTAGTATCAAAATCAATTTTTAGTCAGATACATTTCAATAACGACAGGTGAATTTGATTATGTATATTCACTTAAAATGAAAATCTTTCAAATGTCTCCAATTTATTTTTAATACACACATTTCTAAATTTAGTGTACATATACATATATATGAATTTTCAAAAATTAACAATCGTAATTTTCGCATCGTAAAATTCGCAGTTGGACGTACGGGCCGATGATAAATCAAATGAAACATTTCGCCTATTTATTTCATTAGCGTAATCAAGGTTCTGTCGATAGTCGATATAATATTTATTGACTGCAATCACTAGCTGCTAGCAAGCGGTCAACACTTTTGCGCAATTTTATTCCGTCTCCAAAAAGCCTCATACAGTGCTCAATAAGGTCGATAGCTATATATTTAAAAGAAATTGACATAAAATAAATGTAATTATAATACCTATTTAATTATAGTTTTTTTAATTTGCTTATAAACAAAACCAAATGTGATTTTTAATTTTATTGACTTAATTGTAATTATTGAAAAAAAAACATCAATATTATGAATGGTGTTTTATTTTTGTAGAAAATAAACTTTGGCGAAATATACAGGGTTATATTTTAACCCTTATGGTATGTGTATGTCCCATACTACTTGGGACTTGTAACTCAACTTTCACTTTCCCAAACCGTTTAGTATATATCCAATTATAGTTTGACATTGGTAGTTAAAGGGTGGCAACATTAAATAATATTATATGGTCGAAAAATCGAACACGTGGGCTGGAAATGTATGAAAAAAACAAAAAATTTATGGAGTTTATGACGTTATTCTACAGTGTTTAATTACTGAATAGTATGAACTATATTCATTATTATTGTAATGAAACAATAACAAATACCTGTATTATATGTTGGAACTACTAACATTGGGACGCTATGTCCCATCAGTTCTGTGCATCTTACCCGGCTTCTCGGCATGGGTTATATTTTTAGTTTTCCTACGCAATAAACAAATGTTATTGGTACTTAGATATTTTTTCTGACTTGGCTTGGGGCTCTTACTTTGCTTTTATTACTTCTTCACAGAATGGTTTAAAAGCGAAAAATTACTAAAAATCGCATAGAGACAACTATATAGCGGATTATTTAGACGATGGGGAGAGTTAGTTCATTTGACGAAAATGGTGTGTTTTTCACCAAACGAAAGAAAGATAACCGCAGTAGCAGTGTCACTCCGAGCTTTAAATCAGAACGATCTGAGGGGCACTGCCACACCCTAAGACATAAGTAGACTAGTCTAATGTGCCTGTAATTTCACCAGCACCCTTACACTTCGAAATCGAAATGCAGCCAGTAATGCTCACATTACGGCTTGGTGGCAGAAATAGGTAAGGTGGCAGTATTTCCGTGGACGAACTCTTTCACAAGGAGCTCTACTTCTACTAAAATTTTAGTTATAAGGGTATTTTACTGTCCACGATGGATAAGCTTTCACCGTCACCATTCCGCTGTCAAATTTCGCGCGGCCGCCCCACGTCAACCGCCCAGTTACCAAGCCTCTGTGTATATTAATGGCGAATCTGAAATCTATTTACTAGGCAACAACATTTAAATTCCTCTGAATAATACAACCGCGCGGTCGCCGCGCATACCAAATTCAAGCCAGACTCGCCCGTGTGGCCGGTACCACTGTTGCCAGATTAGGCTATTTTTCGCTATTTAGGCTATTTTGAGCGCGGCGACTAAAAAAGTGGTTGAGACTCGGCGATATTTAGGTTAGGTTCGGCCACTTCGGGCGTGCATCTGGTGTGTTATGCTGATGACACCCTGGTGCTCGCCGGAGGGGAGGACTTCGAGAGGACCATCCGGCTCGCTGAACTCGGGGTTTCTCGCGTCGTCGAAAAAATCGAGGAGCTGGGTTTGCGAGTAGCGCCTCAGAAAACTGAGGCGCTGTGGCTCCACAAACTTCCGCGAGGGAGGGAACCGCCCAGCTTCTCGATTCGCGTTGGTGACGTCGACGTCCAGGTGGGGCAGTACTTAAAATACTTGGGTCTCATCTTGGACGGTCGCTGGGATTTCGAGGGTTCGAGGAGATTTGTGGTCACACCGACTGACGGGCGTCTGACGTTACAGAGCCATGCTCAATGGCGTGCTGCGCCGCATGGCTATAGGGATCGCACGAGGATACCGCACCGTATCCTTTAACACGGCTACTGTCCTGGCGCGGTTTGAGCGCGATGAAATTCGTGTCGAATAAATGCGCCTCTAATGGTTTGACCCATCTGTGTCAGTGGTTGACACGCATTTGAAATTCCCTCGCTTACTCTTCATTCTCTATCAAATGCCTCTTGATTTCCAGATGAGGCCTTGGCTTTTTTATAGCATGTCAATTGCCATATACGTGGTCATTATCAGACAGATTTACATTGAGCCTAACTCTACGCACATACCTAATTTAAAATATAAAAATTGTAAGTTGGTAGTACGCTATAGCGCCTGTCCATAGCAATTGCAGTGCTTTAATATTTTTTTTTATGATAAGTGACGGAAGGAACAAGTAGTGGGTCTGATGGGACTTAGGGCTTTAAATCACAAAGATCTGACTGCCATTATATTTATTAAGAATATTGTATACAATTCCTAAAATTAAAGACCCGTATCGAAATTATAGAAAGTTTTGTTTGAGAAAGATCAGATGAAAAATATAGTCGTAGTCGCCTGCTGCAAGATGTCAAAAGAAGTGTTGAATGGGCTAAGCTAAGAGGCACCGCCAAGACTATCGTATTGTTGAAATGAATGAAATGAAAAATGATGTTTTTTTAGATTTTGTGTTATACTATACATATACATACCCAAAGAGTACCTTGAATATACGGACATACCTATTTATTGTACATACCCATTTAGTTTATTCCCCCAAAAAATCCCTTAACAAATTATCATAATTGATGTCATTTGCACATATTCACATAGGACTTAATACTCGAAAAAAATATAGATTTTTTGATGTATCGAAATAAAAAATGTCGACAATGTATATCGAATAAGTTATGGAATAACATCGTAACGTAATTGTGAAGCATCGATATTTTTTACCCAACTCTACTTGTTATTGAATGTCAAATTAATTTACGACACGACCTATTGTAAAAAGTTTTTTATTTGCATAGGTAATCGTAATTAAGTTTTTTTATCTAGAAAATAGAAAACTCAGTTTCTCTACATGCTAGTTGTTTTAGTTTAAATATAGAAAAATATGATGAGGTAAGATAACCTACAAGGTTTGCTACATTTTTTTCGTTCATTTTATTAAGTTTATCGTAATATTACGGACATTTGTGTTTCATAACGCCTTTATTTGAATTTTATCTGCGACTTGTGTGCATTTTGCAAGCATATTTAATTCACTTATGTTACTTTTTCTCATCTAGCCCTTAAGTTAAATAGAAATAGACGATGAGAAATAATAAAAATAAGTAAAATATATTTAATTTAAAAAAAAAATGTGATTATTAAATAATCACAAATTCATGACAAAATTCTGAATCATGTAAATAAATATCTTTTTTAAATTTCGAATTTATGTCCATTTGTAAAGGGACTGTCTGCAACACCAAAATTGAAAATTCATTACATGAGCTTATTCTCTCTTATAAAGTACTCTCCAGAAAACTTGTTGAATAACTGGCTTTACTGGAACTGATAAAATTGACTTAGCTGGACACTTGATACTGGCAACGCCAATAAATAAACACACACACACACAGTACCATTGTCACTGACTTTCCTATTTAATTCGACAAACTAGCTAACTATACACTATATTATGTGTACGACTTAAGTTTAACCTATTTGTTTTTTCTTAGTGGATACAATTGCTACTGTTTTATGTATAAATTCTTTTTACCGACTACCTTCTAAATAACACGGTGCGATTTCCATCATTAACTTTTGGTAATACAAATTCTTGAAGAGGTTTTGTATATCTTAACAAATAACCAAATTTTTTCCTATAAACGACATCATCCGGTTTATTGCCTATTGCAGTGCACCAACACCTCAACCCTATGATACAATTGTCATTGGGCTGGGCTCTGCTGGTACAACGGCTGCATCAACCTTGGCTCAAGCCGGAAAAAGAGTCTTAGCTTTGGAAGCTCAAGATCGCATTGGTGGGAGAGTAAATACAGTGCCCTTTGGTGATGGACTCGTGGAAGTTGGAGCAGAATGGTTTGTATTTTATTTCCTTTAAAAGTTAATGACCATTTATTAATCGGTTTGTCATGGGATGAATCTGTAATCTCTGCTTCGATCAAATATATTGGTAGATACACAGTGGCTGGTCAAAAGTAGCATCCTCGTAGGAAGACCAACCAGATTGCCAATTAGTTCAACACCTCACGTACCAGCTACACTTCAGCATGTACAATAGTAGATTATATCCTACAGCACGCCCTTCTGGCAGAAGTCTCCAGTAGCGCCCTAAACCGAGGTCCGTGCCCACTTGGGCGCCCTCAGGCCTGCTACGAATAAGGCTTGACCCATTAAAAATAAACTAAACTTTATAGTTTATTTTTAATGGGTTGTTAGCCTTCTTCTTTTATCTGGTGACTTCTTCTTCTTCTTATAGTATCGGTGACATACATTACACTATTGTAGCCCAGAACTCAACCACCGACCGCGTCACTAGTAGCCGCCATAAAGTCCTCAAGCGTGCAGGTGTTAGGGCACGCAGGTCACTATATGAGGTGGGCCATCGTTTAAGTCGCACCGCACAAGCGGTCCAGGTTAGAACCATCCGAAAATCCCCACCTGAACAAATTGTCTTTGCTCCAACCAACCTGAGTTCGACGCCTATTCAAAGACGTCATCGGTCATGGCAATTCGTGTCCAGGAGGAAGACTCTCGGAAGGCGGGACAAACGTAGATGGTATTTTTTTGCGCCAAAGGTTGCACCTCGCCAGAGCCGGCTCAATGCTCAGAGGATCGACACATTTGACAAAACTTTTCCGGCTTCACAGTCTCTGTAGCACTGTGAAGTGATCATGCATATGGTGCCGAGTGTTGATGGCCATTATTGCTCTTTCGTAAGATGCCGCTACATTTTTCTGGATGTCTGGCAGAGCTATGCCAGCTAGTGGGTACAGCAATCTTACTTGGGTCGGCTTAAGACAGCCTGGTGATTTGTGTGATCTGGTGACTTAGTCAAGGCGATCAGCAAGGCAGAAATCGCCGATATGCCTTCATTCGCTTTATACACTTGGTGACCGCGCGAAAAACGATTTGGGAGTGCGCGGTTAGAAATTGCAAAAACTGCACTAAAAGTGTATAAAAAAAGATGGAGAATCATACTTACTTACAGTAATTATATAGTCTAGTTTATTTGCGAAAGCCCATGTTAATAAAAATGAAAGTTAATTAATTTGCTACTCCATGAACCTAGTGAATGTTAAATCGTGCAAAATAGCTGGACTTGTGTCGAATGTTTTTTCATTCAGTTAATTTTCTCATCCTCCCTCCGCATAAAATTAATAAAATAAATAACACAAGCGCAACTACAGTCACAAACACCACCACCAAATATACCCGACACGTGTTTCGCTTCTCCACGAGGCGAGGCATCCTCAGGGGCTGTTGACTGCTCGACGCTCGGCCGAAGAGACATATCTTTTCGGCCGAGTGTCGAGCAGTCTGTGGTTTAAAATATTCATCACAAGCGCAGCTATTTTGTACGGTTTAACCATCACTAGGTTCGCGGAATAGCAAATTAATTTACTTCCATTTTTATTAATTTTAAATTTATATTATTATTATTATCGTATTTATTTTAAACTCTCGCCTATTATTATTAATATTATTTTTAAACTCTACTGCTCAATCGTAAGGCAGATTCCCCTTAGAAGAATGAACAAGAAACTAAGGGCTGCTCTTTGTAAATATACTCGTACATTTGAATACATTTATCATTACAATTAACTATTGTAATTCACTCAGAGCTTTAAATCGCAAAGATCTGAGGGGCACTGCCATTGCGCCCGTCATCCTGAGACATAAGTTGACAAGTTCCTGTAATTTCACCAGCACCCTTACCCTTCAAAGCCCGAACACAGTAACGCTGACATTACTGCTTAGTGGCAGAAATAGATAAGGTAAGGATAAACTAAAAAAATAGATGAACGGTTTAAGTGTAATGTTACATGTATTTATTTATATTATGTTTAAATAAATGTATATTCCTGTGGATGTAGACAAAATAGCCTAAAATAAATAAAAAAATATAACAAATACAAATATCCTTTATTGCCACAATGACACTTTTTGGCATAAATAATATGTTAAGCCAAAACATAAACAACCAATAAACGGTACGTCAAACATGTCGGAGGGCAAAAGGAGGTGTCTCAGCTTGTGCGGCCTGAAACCGTTGTTTTCGCAGACAGCGCTGTTTTCCAGCCACCTCCTTATCCCTAAGATCTTAGGCGGGTTGAAAAGCAACGAGGGCCTAAAAACAATTATAAAATTTTGAAAACCGTTACTATATATTATTTAATAATTCAATATTATTTTGCATATAATAGGTGAAGATACACTATAATATATAATAATAATAATAATAACGCACACACTCAACATGGCCCTAGGGAAACCCTGTGTCGCGGGTGCCATGGACACACATAGACAACCACAAATTACACCCAAACTCACGAGAGAAATAAATGTAGGCCATACAAATATTTCTCCCGACCCAACCTGGGACTTCTGCATGGCAGTCCGGCATGGTAACCGTTCGGCCACGGAGGCAGTTAAATAACACTAATATTAACGAAAAAAAAAACAGCAAAAAATAAGAAAGGAAAAAAAAACAACATCAATAGGTTACTCCAACCTTTCCCAAAGTGGGCAATAACGCCCCCTTGTGGGCGCTGCAGGCCTAAAGGGGGCGGTAAGAGACCCAGAAAAAAAATGGGGAGATTTGTAATTTCATCTAGGAAGACTCTTAGGGTCGTGTTCCAGAATTCTACTCAATGCTCAAGTCAGGATTTGAGCAGACTTGAGTACGATTTGAAGCACTGGAAATACGACTCTAATGACTTGAGTATGATTTTCAGTGCTCACTGCAATACTCAAGTCCTGACTTGAGTATTGAGTAGAGTTCTGGAATACGACCCTTAGACACCGACTGAGCTCTCGACTACAACTTGTGAACATCAACTAATATTAATTAAGAGATTGCTCAAACTAACTCGGTTTGATATTTCTCTCCGTGTAGTTCATATATCTGTCCTGTTTTATTGAATAAATAAAACAGGAATTCATTATTATTTATACATATAATGGGTGAATTCCGTGTGCGGCACTTTTTGAGTCATTTTTGTAAAACCCTTTTTTCTTTTGGTTTTAAGGTCTTAAACGTTCAAATAAGTTCAAGCAATGTCAATTAAATATTTAAATATTTCTGTGATTTTATAATTAAATCACAGAAATATTTAAGTTAAATACAACAAAAAAAAAAAAGATATTTTAGGTCACACGAATGAGATTGCAGTAACACGAATGATTTTCTCATAAACATAAATTAGAAAGACGGCACAGTAATTTATTATTACAACACACATTTTATCGTTCAAAAAAGAACATTTAACATTATTTAACATGTAACAAATATTTTAATATAACTTCTTGTATCAAAATCCTTCTCATCCGTGTAAGACCATCTATCTATCTATACAGGCTGTATATTTGAAAGTGAGACATATTCATACATTTATTTATTTATTTATTTATTCAATTATAAATGGTGTAACCTGACGGTATTCATTAACCATAGCGTTACGCCAATTTAATTTTAACAAAATAAAAATACAGATAAAACAAAAGAAAAATTAACAAAAATTAAAATTAAAAACAAGTAAAAATCTTAAACAAAACGTATTACTAATCTAAACTTAAAGTAAATAACTAACTAATAAACTAAAAACCATCCTGTCTTCTCTCTAGCACTCTTTTCCATTCATTCAACAGTCTCGCTATCCCTGTCACAAATAGATCATATTGCGGCGTTGCTGCGAGTACGGAGTTGAGGAGAGAAGCCGCTCGGGGAAGGGGAGAGTGTCGGTATTGTTCAGTGCGTGTAGGCACAGTTGCTAACAAGGGCACACCTCGTCGCCTGGTACAGTAGTCTCTAGGTACATTCAAACGAGGTTTGAAGGGTTCAAACGAGGCGTGAAGAGGCATATTGTAGGCAGGCAGGGTGGAGGTGGCTAGTGCAGTGAGGATTCCATCGCTGCACTAGGTTCCTTCGCGTTTGGATACCACTTTCCACTTAACATCAGGTGGAGTGGAGTCATTTGCCTGTCATGTATTATAAAAAAAAAAAAAAAAAAAAAAAAGGTACATACTGTTTATATTATTCCTTATAACATTTAATACGAAGGTGAGTAAGGACAAATTTCTGCGTAACTCCAACGACTCGAAACCTAGGTGACCCTGTAGGAACCGTGTTGGATACATAAATGGGTAGTAAATGTGATTCTTTTTATATAGGTGTCTTAAAAACTTTTTTTGTACTTGTTCCAACATAAGAATATGTTTCTTCCCTTGAGGAGACCAGACCACTGCACTCGCCTCGAGGACGCTGCGAACCAGTGCCGTATATAACGTGCGCGTTGCTGAGGTAGTAAATGGCGCAGCGTTGCGCAATACGAACCCTGGCCTCTGGTACGCACATTTGGTGACATTCTTGACATGAGTACGAAATGTTAGACTTGTGTCAAAAGTAACTCCGAGATCACGGACCTCGTTAACGCGAACCATCATCATACCGTCTATTAGATAGTTATAGTGAATGGGCAACGGGGAACGCGAAAAGGACATAATTTCGCATTTACCAGTGTTAAATAACAATTTATTATTGTTATTTATACATGTCATAGTAAATCATGTTACAACTTAACATAGACTAAAATAAAATTAGGATATGGGATAGAACAAAAAATAAATCAACAAATGTGTTTTGAAGTGTAGATAGGAATAAACCGATTCCCTTTACGCTTGATTTCGAGTGCAATGGGAATGCTACCAAGCGAGCGCCGAGTGAGACAGCAACAATAACAATGATTTCACATTTACGTTTTAGCTTATGTTAATTGTTTTTTACTTGGACTATCATCGAAATGTTTTACGTACTAAAAAATATAAGTTTATGATTTAGTAAGTAGTTATCATTTAATAAGAATTGAGGTTTTTGGCGTAGTTAAAAATGTGAAATCAAATTAATTACAATGATTGATTTTTTAGTTATTTACAGTTTATTTACACTTACGTGGTACGGAGCAAGTGTTCAAAATGTCCACCGTTTTCCACAATACATAGTCTAGCACGGCATAGTAAATTTTGTTTTAAATTGTACAACACAAACACATTTTGTCTCACAGTATAAAATGCTGAGATAATCCTCTCACGCAACGCTTCGACACTGTTCACCTCCTCCGCGTAAACTCCGATTTGGGAACATTTCAATAGCTTGCCTCACACTATCACCACTTATTGCGTAAAGTCGCACCATCTCAGTCAATTCCACGTTAGAATAAATACCCATTTTGCGGCGATCGGGCGAGCGGAAGGACAAATAATTTACGTGTCTTCATTAGATCAAGGTCGCGCGTGGACTGAGGAATTTCGCGTATGCGCCCGCGTCCTCACCCCCGACCTGTGCTTTGCTTTTCGCCGCTGCGTCGGAGCAATAATAGTGATGTGCATAGATTTCGATAACTAATGTTGTGCTCAAGTAGTAGTCGATAAAAAAAAATTAAAAAATATTTTTTGTAAAGTTTAAGTTCATTTGTTTATTATTTCTTTGGGTTGAGAATCAGGAATATAACGCACTCTATAAGTATGTCCCACTTTCAAATATACAGCCTGTATGTAATTAATAAATAAATCTAAAGAAGTATTTTGTTAATGTCATATAAACTTTGTTGTACATCAATATATCATCATCACCATCATCTACATCATCATCATGATCACCATTACCATCAGCATCGTCATCACCACCACTATCACCATCTAATTGTTATATTTCAAGTAAATGTTTGGCTTAAAGTAACTATTTGACTTAAAAGTAGACAAGAATGAGAGCGACAATAATGATATTTGGATACATTTTTAATTGTCAAGTGTGTAAAATATGCTGGACCGTTATAAAAGGGCATGGAAATTTTCCTTTGTCTGATTGATGTACAATAAAGTTTATAAAACTATTACTTAATACTTATTTAGATAGATTGCTTTACATGAATGAGAACGATTTAGTCACTAGCGCTGAAATTGGTATTTAAGTCGATTTTTTTGCTAAAACGGAGATGCACAGGTTACTTCACTGTGTACACTCCAATCCGACAGGAGCCCCTTCTCACGTGTGCGAAGGGTGAAGGTGATGCGATATTAACTTTTGTTATTAAGAGGTTTTTAGTTGAAGTGACACTAATGATAAGAAAAATTGAAACACATTTTGTATTCCCAAGAAAACATGTTTGTTTATAATAAATTGGAAAGTTACGGTATGTATTCGACGTGAAAGTTATTAGAGTTTATCCTTGATGGGAAATATTGCGATTTTCACGATTGTTTAATTTTTGTTCTTCTTTTCTTAACATTAGGGCGACGTGGAACCGGCTCCCATTAATGAGAAATTGCCCACTTTTTAAATTTTTATTTATTACTGTGACGTAGTAAAGTAGTCTTTTTATGTGTAACACGAGACTAAGTAAGCAAGCAGGCATATTAAATAAATAATGCTTAACATTCATGTAATAACATAAAAGTTATTGAAAGGGACACATTTTTGGAGGTTATCTGAAAACGATCCTAATAAGTGAAGATACACTAATATTATCGGAAAAAAACAGCAATAAATAAGAAAGGAAAAAAAAACAACATCAATACGTTACTCTAACAAATAGTATGTGTGTGTGTGTGTGTGTGTGTGTGTGTGTGTGTGTGTGTGTGTGTGCGTGCGTGCGTGCGTGCGTGTGCGTGCGTGCGTGCGTGTGTGTGTGTGTGTGTGTGTGTGCGTGCGTGCGTGCGTGCGTGCGTGCGTGCGTTCGTGCGTGTGTGCGTCTGCGTGCGTGCGTCGCTGTGCCGGTGCCGGTGCCGGTCACATGATTTTTTATATTTTTTTAGACTAATTTAAAAAAAAAACAAAATGTTTCTTTATTTACAATATACACCCATTAATAAATTTAACATTATTTATTACATTACATAACAGACCCATTAAATTGAATTTTATTGACCGAATATTATTATTATTATTAATGAAGTAAATAATTAAGAATTACATTAAATTGAATTTAATTTACATTACAAATAATAGTATAATAGTAATTAATTTATTTAAAGTAGCCTTTTTAAGTATTGGTTAACCTCTGTTCCTTCCAGGATCCATGGCACCCAACCTAGTCGAGTTTACGACCTGGCAATAGCTAACCACGTAACATTAATACCACAGGAACTGGAGTTCGAAGTATATCGCTCCGATGGTACCACTGCAGACACGGAGTTGGTGAAAGAGCTGTTGATGTACTGTATAGAAGTGATTGAAACTCCGCCTGACAAGCCTGAGGCATTGGGGCATTTTATTACTAGAAAGTACGTTAATAATGTCGTTCCTTATAGATGTTAGGCATTGACTTACAATTACATGGACGTCGGGTCCGCGCTAAAGAGTGTCCGCACTTGTAAGGCGCTAAAATCGTATACAGAGCGCCAAACTCCGCTTTAGTCTTCATTTGTTCTACTGACAGCGCGATATTGCGATGACATTACAATTTAAATTTCGAATAGGTTGACTTGGGACATTTTTTTCGTGGTTTTTGTATTAGACCCGTCGTCCATTTATTTGTAAGTCAATGATGTTAGGTAATTTTCTTAATAATTTCAAATAGTGGAAATTTTTCCGGAAAAAAGCCCGAAAAATTTGAAAAATTGGAATTTGAAAATTAAATTTTTTTTCAAAATTAATATTTTTCCATGACACTTTATAGACAATCTTAGGGCGCTTTCAAATAAGACGTAGAAGCGCTGCAGCCACGCTTCTGTAACGCTTCAGTAATTTTTAGTTCACTAATTGTGACCGCAAAAGTGGCGCGTGTGTGTCACGACAGTGGCGTTGCAACTGCGCTTTCAAACATTCCGTTCTTTCCGTGGCTTAGTTGGCATAGCGACTGGCACGGCTTGCTGGGAGATGTTGGTTCGAATCCTACCGGATCGAAGGGATTTTTTTCTAAGTGTCCAATCTTTGCATTACTAATTATAACAAACTAGTAGAGTAATTTCACAAAAAATAATTGAATGTCATTTATCATTCAAAACTTGATTTGTTTGAAAATTAGTATATACAGTGGCGCCACTGCAGGGCTTCTATATTCGTCTGATTTAGTGTCTATAGTTCATTTGTTTAGGTACCAAACTGAATGTAAAAATCTTGAAAATGTTTATTTAATGAAATATACATTTATAAATACAAATACTTAGCTTCATATGAAATTGCATGCCTATTTTTATACCTGTTGATTTGTAAACGTATATGTTTCTATAAAAAGATTTATCAAGATTGTTTACATTTAGTTAAGTACCTAAACAAATGAACTATAGTGGTAACTTTTACCTACACTTTAATCTATCTATATATTTTTATTTTACATTTTTAGCGAAACTAACAACTATGAGTTAAAATAACAAATATAGACGGCCAATTCTGACGCCGTTAGATGAAAGGGCGCTTGTGACAAAAACTTAAAACCTAGAAAATATTATTTAAGAAATGAAATTAAAAAAAATCTCTTTAGGTAACTCTATGCCTTATCCACCTATGAAAAAATATCAATAATGCTGCCGTCCACTAAGACTCGGCTAAGTGACAAAATAATTTTTTGAGATATCATAAAAAACTCTTATCCCAGTTTTAGAATATTGAAATTATTGAATTTTGTGTTCTATCTTTTGCTATTTAAAACGGATATTTGACCATTTATCACTGCTTCGTTTTAGTTAGAGGACGGCAGAATGACAGTTCGGCCTTTAGATACTGATCACGGCAGTAACCATAGCAAATTAAAAAAAAAAAAGTCACATACGCCCTTTCAACTAACGGCTGTAGAATGATTGTGTGTACAAGTTTCCACAGATAGAAGTTTATTTAGGCGCTCCGCAGATGGAGCAAGTTTAGTTGACACAACTGGCAACTTTTCACAAGTTTTCATTATCGGCTGCCGCAATTTCAAATAAACTTTCGAAATCCACGGTCAAGACTGACGCTGCGGGGGACGGGGAGGGAGTGAAGTTGCTCCACGAGTTGCAGTTACCGGTTGCGGAAACTGGCAACTGGAGACAAGCGGTACAAATTTGCAAGTTTCTAGTTGCAGTAATTAAGAGTCAAGGATTTCGGCAATCGAAAACTGTAGTCAATTGCCGAAACTCTCAACTTAAATTGCTACGTCTGCGCGGTTTGTTGAAATTATATGAGTCAAACAGTTTGTTGCGGGTTGCTAGTTGCCGAAAGTCGATGATCAATGTTGCTCCATCTGCGCAGCGCCTTAAATACAAATTCTATATTTTTATTTCTAGATTAAATGACTACTTAAAAGAGAAACACCCAGATGTTCCCCAAAACAAAGAATTTATAGACAGTTTCCTCGCGTTCATGAATTTGCTAATAAATAACTATGAAGCTGCTAACGATTGGAACGATGTCAGCGCGTATACGAAATACGAGGACTTGGGTGGTCACCAGCACATGAGCTGGCATAGATACGGCTATAAGACTTTCTTTGATATTTTGTTGGTAAGTAATGACTATAGCCTGTATTTTTTGAAGATGGAGTGAAGTGACTTAGGGTTGCTAGTTTTCGCAAAATTATGTAGTACCTGCCGACAATTTTATAGATAGATTGTGAAACTAGGTGAGATTTTGCCAAACATGTCAGAATTGTTAATGTTACAACGTTCTATAATTACTCATTGCGTTATAGTAAAGGGTCAAGGGCACGTCAAGCTTGATACTTAAGATTGAAATCCAACTTTATGCCGCTTACGATAAGAACGGTCCAAAGTGCAAAGTGTCAAGCGTGACGTGATCTTGACAGTACTATTCTATATTCTTATTTGGATAGGTGGTCTATTGGTATCGAAGTAAATTTTTAACACATTTTAATAACGATACGCGGATTTGATTATGTATATTAAAACGAAAAACTTTAAAATATGTCTTCTATTTGTGTTTTTAACCGACTTGAAAAAAGGAGGAGGTTCTCAATTCGACTGTATGTTCTTTTTTTTTGTATGTATGTTACGCGATAACTCCGGTATTTGTGAACCGATTTTCATGATTCTTTTTTTGTTGGAAAGAGGGTACCTCCATAGTGGTCCCATTTCATTTTGAAGAAAATCATCCACCTCTAAGGGTGGCTGTTCACGCATGAAGATTCATTTTTATAAATAGCGCCTAAACTTTAATTTAGGAGCAATTATTTTAATGGTTGATTTTGCTATTTCTCCAATTCAAGGCGTTTTTCTCTCAATATACTTTGAGTAGTGAGAACCGATTTTTATTATCTCCAGTGTCAACTCCTGTACAGTGGCGAACTAGGGGATATTTGAATAAAACTTAGCAAATAGACGTAAGTCCACGTACTTTTGAGGTCGGTTTTTTTAGTACTCTGTACTGAGATTATTTATACTGCTATATTTAGTGATTGTATGAATTTTCAAAAATTAACAATTCAAATGAACCTGTAGCCAATAACGCACACATTCAACATTGACCCACACTAGGGAAACCCTGTATCGCGGTTGCCATGGACACATACATATACAGTCACAAATTACGCCGAAAGCCACGAGATAAATAAATGTAGGTCATACAAATATTTCTCCCGGCCCAGGAATCGAACCTGGAACCTCGGCGTGGCAGTCCGGCATGGTAACCGTTAGGCCACGGAGGCAGTTTTATTTATTATTGTAAAATATTTGCAGAATAAATACAACAACGGCCCCGGCCTGCCAACCCTAGAAATAAAGCTAAACACAGAAGTGACAAAGATCATCTGGCCACAAGACCCTAAAGAGAGTGTGGCAGTGACGACAAAAGACGGGACCATTTATACTGCCAATAATGTTATTGTTACGGTGTCGTTGGGCGTCTTGAAAGAACGGTAAGTTGGGTTTGTATATTATTATATTTATAGAAGTCTCTACCCATATCCACAAACACGCTAACGCGCAGATATTGAAGATAGAACGTACCTTCATTCGGAAACTAGAATTAAGAATGTTTGTCTCGTTTATGTTTAGTTTTATTTCGTTTGTATATCATTGTTAAAAGTACCTTAAACTAGACGCTTATAGAAGCGCTGTGACGCCACTATAATAATATAATAATAATATTTCTTTATTCATCTCCACAATACAAATCAAAGGAATATTACAGTAGAGATACATATGCTTAGAGTAATGTATTGTGGGAGATTGGAGCCCAAACTCTAGGATGACACGTTAGTGGTATTGACTGTAACGGTGCGTTCCCATTATACGTGCAGTGTGAAGTGTCGTGGTTTGTATTTTATATGAAGTTGTTCACACAGAACGGCACGATTAATTGTCATTCACGACTTTTTTGACGTTACGACGACGAGACTGTCGAGACAATGGGAAGAGCTAGAACGGCAGTCGCCAGTCGATAAATAAAACGTCACGATCAGCAAGCAATCGCAGTTTCAAACGATTCTGCCGTGCACACGATAAGGCGGCTGCCGTGAACCGATAAATTGTCGTCACGACCTGGTGGAACAGCTAGACACGACAGTCGTCCAACAATATAAAACGTTACGCCGTGATGGGAACGCACCCTAAGAGTATTGAGGAAATATGTAATTAAACTTAAATAATAATTGTAAGAAATTTTGTTTTGAAGAAGTTTTGCGTGCGTGTGTGGGTATGTGTACGTGTGTGGCGCTGCAGCCAGGCGAATTACTGTAGCGCTGTAGCCACGCCGCACTAATTTTCAAACAATATTTAGAAGCGCAGCTGTAAGTACTCTTTCAGACTATATATTGTGTGAAAATTAGTAGTGCAGCACGTACGCGCCACTGTAGCACAACAAATAGTTCTACAAGCGTCTAATTTTAAGGTGCCCTTATTTGTACCTTTATCAAACCTAGTAACGGTAAAATTTGCATTTAAAGCTTTATTAAATAAAAAGCATGTCAAAGGATATCAAAATGTTTAGTCTTGTTACATCATTGTCGAAATGTCAACGTGCTGCCAAGTTTCAGATCAATATCAGATTCCAAGAATATTGATCATTGTCCAAATATTTTTTTACGCACACGCAAGTATGACAATTGACAAGTATTTTTTCTCCAGACAACCCTATATTCACTAGGGTTGCCACCGAAAAAATCACAGCCATCGACAAATTAACAATGGGCTTGCTTGATAAAATAATTCTTACATTTCGTGAAAGATGGTGAGGTAAAAAAGAAGCATTTTTTTGTAGCAAAGAGGACGTGGTCAGTATACCTCAGAAGGATAAATGGATATCAAAGTATTCGATCTGACAAGTCCTGAAAGCCCCTGCCTTAGGACTGCTTCCTTAACCTGACCCCTAAGGGGTCCGTGTAGGGAACGCCGGAGGGTCCATGGTGATCCCACCTAACACAATGCATTCATATAACAATTGGATAGAATATGTTATGAATAGTGTGCGTGACCGTTTTGAATTTTCGCGCCATTTGATGGTCATCCATTACTGGGGCGAACGAAACGCGCGTAAGTGCTTTTTAAGTTAAGACCTTTGACGTTCAATCATGGTTCTAATTCAGCATAATATGTTTCATATGTAATGCTTAATCGCGTACAATGAAAGCTGGTAAAAGCGAGGTTAAGCTCACTTTTTTGGTTTTTGGAAAGGGTCTGTGGGCTCTTTGAAATTTTTAGAGGGGTCCATGACTAGAAAAAAGAAAGAAAGAAACCCTGTCCTAAAGGATCGATCAATTTCTTGAATTTATGAACCTAGCTAAGCTGGTTAGTTAAAAGCTACATTTTGGGGAAGATAATATTGTATTAATAAATAATGGGTCTCAAACTACAATTAATTTATTTTTAACAAAACTATTGTCGGTATCCCATACACGCACTATAATCTGCATTCGTAGCATAGAGCATGCGGCCTGCCCATATCCATTTTCTTTTTTTGCGAATTTAAATTGATTTTTTCTCAGATACACATTCTTATTTTCTCCGGAGTTGCCACAAAAAAAAATAACAGCTATAGACAAAATAAGTATGGGTGTTGAAAACAAAATAATTGTGTCCTTCGAAAAGCGCTGGTGGCATGATGATAACGTTTCGGAATTCTTTTTTTTGTGGAAATCAGAAGACAGGAAAGAAACACTAAAAGACAAAAAATGTAAAAATTGGATATCGAAAATCGGTGTTATTAGTGTGCCAGCAGCTTCGAATAACACTCTCACTTTCTGGTTGACTGGAGATGCAGCTAAATTGGTAATTACACACACCAAAAGACTTTAAAAAATATATACCCTATGTCAAAAACATTTTAATGTACCAACACCGAACATAAATGCCGAAAACATCCTAACGTACTCACCACCAACACTTACAGCCAAATCATTTAACGTACCGCCGCCAATATTTAAATTCCGAAAACATCCTAATCTACCACCACCAACACTTGCTTGCCAAAAACCGTAGCAGTGGAGCTCCTTGTGAAAGAGTTCGTCCAGGGAAGTACTGCCATCTTACCCATTTCTGCCGCCAAGCAGTAATGTCAACATTACTGTGTTCCGGTTTTGAAGGGTAAGGGTGCTGGTGAAATTATAGGCACATGAGACTTGTCAACTTATGTCTCAGGGTGACGGACGCTGTGGTAGTACCCCTCAGATCTTTGCAATTTAAAGCTCTGAATGGCACTGTAACTGTTATGGACAGGCGTGTAGCTTACCATCAGGCGCATGACTTGATCGTCCTGTCATTTGATATTATAAAAAAAACATATTAAAGTACAATCGGGGACGGGGCGAACAAGTCCTACACCTGGTGGTAAGCGACACGCCTATCCATAACAGTTGCAGTGCCACTCATAGCCTTAAATCGCAAAGATCTTAGGGTCACTGCCACTACGCCCGTCACCCTGAGACATAAGCACACAAGTCCCATGTGCCCGTAATTTTACCAGTACCCCTACCCTCCCCAACCGGAACTCAGTAATGCTAACATACTGCTTGGCGGCAGAAATAGGCGAGGTGGCAGTACTTCCCTGGAAGAACTCTTTCATAAGTTCATCAATCTGCAAAAATTTTATTACATAATATCTAACGTGACCGTTATTTTTTTTCCCTCAGAGCGGGACGCCTGTGAATTTATGAGCAAATTTTCTTTAATACGTGAGATTTACATTTTAAATCTATTCCACAATAAATGACAAACTTTCCCTGTTCGTTTTTTGAAAAACTCATTTTTACGTGTGTCCTGTTTTGTCAAAGCGGGATACAGCGGGACACGAAGCTTAAAAGCGGGACTGTCCCGCTGTGTGGTCACGTTAATATTGTTTCCTAATATTATTTTGTCTACGGCTGTGTTTTCCTTTGCACTAAACTGACAATCTTTGGTTATAGGGCTGTACAATACTATTTTCTAAAATCTATGCTGACGTCTAACATGTTGATAAATGCCAATAACATCCCATTAGCAGTAAGGATCTCTTTTTTAAACCATAAAGTCGTCACTACCGTAGACGTCTTTATACATCAGTCCTGACATTTTACAATACTGTACTATTGTGTGTACTCTGAGCTTCCGAGTTTTCGTGTTTGACTAAAGCAGACGAATATAATTATTATTGCGAAACTTTTAAGAGTCTATACAACCTCAAATGGCGTTAGTTGATCCCGCATAACAGTCAAAGTGTTGAATCAATCATTTTGGAATAAATATAGAGTAAAATTGAGGGTATACACCAATTATTATACAATGTGAAAACACACTTCCTAAAAAACACAAACTTATCTCGAAATTTTACAAGACACCGTTGTATTCAGCAGGTACTTTACAGATCGGCTGGTCTGGAAATCTTTGGGGGAGGCCTATGTTCAGCAGTGGACGTCTTCCGGCTGATATGATGATGATATAGTGCAGTATTTCATATACATTCAATTCTACATGAATAGTTCCTATTAGTAATTTTTCTACTTGTTTTTATTTAATATTTAAGTTTCATTTTATAATTTTAGGGTTTACCACACTAGTACTTACGTACCATCTCATCTTGTAAAAGCGGTTCCAGCTGAAAACCAGCGTTACAGCAGGCGAGCTGTAACATATGCTGAGTTGGGTCCGTTTTAGCGTATAGTATACAGGGTGGAAATTTGTAATGCCACCTGGAGGGAAAGTACTCTAAATACTGGAGATAGAAATTTTTACTTAAAGGAAACATTCCTTTATTTTTTAAAAGAAATAAAACTGCATTCATAGATTTTCGAAAATTTCCAGCAACACGCGGGAATCGAACCCTAAGCGGAAAAAATGCACCCTGCACTTTTATTGCATCGATCGATAGGGTTAATTATAAGAATAAAATCTCTCTCACAAAATTGGTTAATTAAATGAAAAAAAACCATGAAATCTTAACGTATTTTAATTAAACGAAAAAAAAGGTAATCAACTAATTAGTAGCTCGAAATGAGCTCCATTTTCTTGGATACACAAATTTAATCTTGTAACGAATTCATTTTGAAGGTTGAGGTTCAGAATACGATTTGTAATACAATTCATCACAACACGTTATTAAAAGTTACTCAACTGAACTAAACAGAACACGTATAGTATATACGATATACATTTTTCAAATGGCTTTATAATTTTGAAAAGGAAGCAATCCTTCAACCCCTTAATCTAGAAATCTCGCGATTCGATTGAATTTACTTATTGAGCTGTATTATGGGCGCCTTTAAATTAGACGCTTACAGACGCTACAGACGCGCACTGTAGCGTTTCTTCAAGTATCTCATTGAAGGCACCCTTGATGTAACTGATTAATTATGCCTCCTGATTATAAACCTTTGTACAATCTTATAACTCTGAAGCTTGGACAAACAGTAACCAGTGCCATACTTCGTTAATTTTACACATAATAAAAGTTAATAAAGAGGTGAACCCTATATAATTATTTTCAGACATCTCACCCTCTTTCAACCTCGATTGCCCCCCAAAAATATCGCTGCCATAGATTTCATATCAATGGGTGTAATAGACAAAATCATTATTTCATTCAAAGAGGCCTGGTGGCTTCGAACCATTTCATTTTATGCCTTCATTTGGACTAAGGACGAGTTGGGACAAGTGGGCCGAGATGACACGTGGATTACGAAGATCTTTGGGGCGAGTACGCCCAGAGGCTCAAATAACACCCTTACGCTATGGACTAACGGAGATATGGCCAAATTGGTGGGTTGCATGTCTTTTAAACACATCTGTTTAATAACAATTTAATATGGTTTTCTTTGTGATTTATAATATTATCTGTGATATGACTAATAAGAATGAAGCAAACGAGTGTTGTTCGCTGCCGTTTGCGCCCGCGCCTGTACTGAATGACCGGGCTGTCAGAGCTTTTGCGCAGTTTCCGTCGAGTCACTGCCGCGGATGTGCATGATTGAGAACCACGGACTGGTTAGAAACAGGTCGAGCAAAAATTTTACTTAATTACTTGAGTTATCCGTTAGTTCAGTTAATATATACATTCCTAAAAAATCACTATGGAAGATAAATGTAATTAGTTAAAGGACGTAATGAGCGACTGTCTGTTTTCAGTTGTGTCAGGACGTAAATATTTACCTCCTGTTTTAAAATGAAATTTTGCTTTTGATTAAGTTTAAGTTTTAAAATTGAATTTAAAAAATAGGGTCTAAAAGTAAAATACGCTCACCTGAAAATTTTTTCGAAAAGGTGCGTTCCTTGGGAAGAGCAGTGATTGTCTAATTGGAAAAATGCTTGCCTCCAACTCGAGAGGGTCTCGGGCAGCCTTTGCGAATCATATGCAGCTTTGACAGTACTGATTATCTGATGCTGACCTAACTAACAAATCTATCTAATTATAAGTATTATACCCATGTAAAAAAATTACTTTGAGGTAACAAACAGCCACTAATGTCACTTTTAAAAATAGTGTTGCCAAATTTTATTATATAGTGATATATTTGTTTCCTATATCAATGAATTCACTGAAACACAATCAGTCATAAAGAAATGCAATTGTTTTTTAATATTCAATGCTGAAAAATAATTCATTTAAATTTAGTGTCTACATGCTTTTTTTTCTTTTACCATATTCGTGATTATATTTTTGTATTAAAAATTTACCTCGATGACTGAGCGAGTCAGTGAGTTGATCGTTTAGACAACACTATTTTTACTTCATCAAAAACTAGCAACCCACTAAACGCCAGTCAATATTTCTAATGTATAAAAATCCAACTTTATTAACATTGGCTTAATTTGACACTTTCATTTCAAGTCTAATTTGCTTACTGTAGAAATAGAGAGATTTAGATTTTTTTTGACAAACAACGAAACAGTAAAAGAAATCTGTTAATGTAACATGCCTCGCCCTTGCATATTGCTTTGAAGAATATTCATCAAATCTTAGAAACATTGAGACTACATGGTGGACTATTGCTTAAAATCTTTTCCTTGGAAGAAACCCCTTTCCGCCACTCATATGTATATGTTTATAATGAGATGGAATTAAAATAATTTACAAGCAAAAACCCTCGGAAATAAAGTTGCTTTGCATTTAGAAATATTGGAAATGAAACTATTTTTCCGGATTTAAATCACGTATATTTGTTTTTTCAAACAAACCGACGTTTCGGGCCCTTCACAGGTCCCATGGTCACGGTTGACAATAAAAATATTTTACAGGTAGAAACACTTCCAGAAGAGGTTGTAAAGAGGAAAGTCGTTGAGTTGCTGAGGCGATTCATGGGGCACAAGTACACGATACCTGAACCTACAGGTATGATACGGTAAGTAAAAGTAGATCATTCGGTACATTAAACAGCCTTTTTGAAAATGTTCTCAAAGTCTTTTGGTTGGTTGCTAAGCCTTGTGATGCAGGTACCTTTTCATTTATATACATCATTCGTGTCTTATGGAAGAAAGGAAACATGGTTATTAAGACGAATATCGAACACAGACAAGCTTTTTTTGACCGAATGGGACTGAACTCATGACCATACTGCACCGTAGTATTGTTCTTACAAACTGAGCTACGGGACAAGCTATCGAGTTGTCGAAATTCTCCTATGTGTTTTTGGTTACCTTTGTACTGTTTGTATAAAAAATATATATAAAAATGTAAAAAAATAAGGTCATTTATTCATTACATGCTTCCTTATTTTGCGTATGCACCTTTTGTTTACATTTCTGTGTCATTTCAGCTGTTGCTAGGTGTTTATTTTGGTTCAAGTTATTCTTAACCGATCTCCAAAGTGCAATGCCTACGCATTGGCACTTCTGAGGCTCGGTTCGGAAATTACTGTGACAACCCTACGGTTGCCACAGTAATTTCTCGGAATTTATGAGTCACAAACATAATAACTGACCTTTGTACTAGATTTTTCGGCTTTCTGAACTGCTAGTGACATCTAGCGAGAGATTTTAGAACCTGCTGCTGCGGTGAAGAAGGTTCTAAAATGTCTCACAAGACTTATCGGTAATTATCATTTATCACACGATATTATTGGGAGAAAATTTTAAACTTCAAAAAAGTCGGAGTTTCTCAATTCGACTGTTAGTTTTTTAGGGAACTCCGGTATTTGTGAACCGATTTTCATGATTCTGTTTTTGTTGGGAAGGGGGTACTTCCTTGGTTGTTCCATTTCATTTTAAAGAAAATCATCCACCTCTAAACGTGGCTGTTCACGCATGAAGATTCATTTTTATAAATAGCGCCTAAATTTCACTTAAGGAGCAATTATTTTATGGTTGGTTTTGCTATTCTCCAATTCAAGGCGTTTTTCTCTCAATATACTTTGAGTAGTGAGAACCGATTTTTATTATCTCCAGTGTCAAGTCCTGTATAGTGGCGAACTAGCGGATATTTCAATAAAACTTAGCAAATAGACGTAATTCCACGTACTTTTGAGATCAGTTTTTTTAGTTCTCTGTAGTGAGATTATGATCTAGTAGACACTAAGTTTTACTGTGTAATGGCTGATTTTTTCAATCATTGAATGATATATATATAATTCAATTAGGCTTTCGATATGTGCGTAGTTTTATTTTGTAGCCATATATTATGTGTATATTTTTGTTACCTTGTTCACTTTGCCGAGTACTGAAATCTGTCCCAATCCATTTTGAACAAAACTAAACAAAACTGTTTGGTTAAAATTCTAAAGCAATCACTCGATAAATAACGCACACACTCAACATAGCCCTGCACTAGGGAAACCCTGTGTCGCGGGTGCCATGGACACACATATAGACAACCACAAATTACACTCAAACTCATGAGAGAAATAAATGTAGGCCATACAAACATTTCTCCCGGCCCGGGAATCGAACCTGGGACCTCTGCGTGGCACTCCGGCATGGTAACCGTTCGGCCACGGAGGCAGTTTGCAAATCGAATAAGTAACACTTTCACGTATATTTCGAAGATTTATACTTGATATCGCATCTCTTTTTCCAACAATATTCATTTGAATAGCATCATAAAACGGTATTTGAAAAATGATAGTCCAAAAGTGGGGTTATTTTTTTTATACAGCTATGACTTGTCTATGATTGCATAGTGGTGTACGAAAAAAAACATTCGGTTCATTTAATTCAAGTTTTTGTAATCGATTAGTAAATCGAATATTTCTATTGCAACCGATCGATTATCTAATGTATGGATTTGAAGGAATATTTAAAATTAAGATTTCGGAAATTTTAAATATGCTTAATATAAGTCATGTAAGGAAAACCGCTAGTATGACTCAATTGAACAAATCGATTCATTCAATTTGTAGTTGGCATTACAATTGGCCATCACTAAACCGTCTATGTTCGGGTCACTGACTTGTTTGTTTACTTTTTGTTTTAAATGGAATTAAGCGAAGTATACTTGAAATTTCCCTCACAGGTCGACATGGTTCACAAACCCGTTCACCCGTGGCAGTTACACATACGACAATCTGGACGTCTCAAAACACCCAACAGCCCGTGCAGACCTCGGCGCCCCACTCCTTGACTCGGCCATGAAACCAAGGGTCTTGTTCGCTGGTGAAGCCACTAATGAGATACATTTCTCCACGGTTCACGGGGCTAGTGAAACTGGTTACAGGGAAGCTATGAGGTTGTTGCCAACTGATAGTAAGATTTAAGATAAATGTCCGAATTAAAAGCAGTCTTGAGTTGAGGCGGGATTGAGTCAAATCAAGACATTCTCGAACTTGAACTTGTAATTAAGCACTACTCATTAAGATGTTTTAACGAAACACTTCATTCTAGTGTCTTGACAACGAATTGTGATTCTATAACATGACAAGAATACTAACAGAAGGAGTTAACTGCAGTATTGATTTTTACATAATAAAAAAGTCAAGTCAGCCTTGAATATGCTTAATGAAGCCCTTTTTCTTCATCATATAGAAAAAAATTAAGATGTGACTATATTACTAACATCATAAACAATAACTTTTGTTCAATGACTAAGTAAACTTTTAAGTTTTTGTTCTACTCTCTGATTCTTTAACCGACTTTAGAACAAGGAGATTCGATTCGACTGTATTTAAAAAAATGTTATTCGATTGGTGAATTGATTTTGATAATACTTTTTTTGTTAGAAAGAGGGTACCTCAATATTGGTCCCATATTTGAAGGAAATATTCCACCTCTAAGGGTGGCAAACTAGGGGATGAATCCGGATTTGCGCACTTTCCAGTAACCGATTTCATTAAAACTTGGCAAATAGATGTAATTCCGCGAATTTTTGAGGTCGGTTTTTTAGTACTCTGATTCAAAGTCAAGTTAAAGTCGAAGTTCATCATTTATTCCAAAGGTAAAATTTCATTGTCATTGTTTAAGATATTGCTCGTTCACTGTGCCGACTTCCCTGAGAAGAACAAGCAAGAAACTCTAGGGATTGCTCTTTTCAAATAAACTTAAATGCTATAGAATACATTTTGAAACATATTTGTGTGGAATCAAGACTCGTGTTGTCTTTCCATACATTTTTAACTAACACATAGTCTACGATTTCGTGATATTTCTTTTAATGTAAGTTTTCAACTTAGAAAACGGTAATCTTAATATATTCTCCAAAATCTTATTGTAAAAACGTATACAGTTGTCCATAATTGATTTTAGATCTGTATTTTTAGCAACGCCCTCCGCGTGCTTCATTCATCAAAATAATTTTGGTAGTGGGTGCTTTCTTTTGCTACCGCACAGAGTTATCGCCATTTACAGCGATAAAACAAAAGTTGTTATTTATGATTTTAGTAATAATAGTCTTGCGAAGCTGTTAATTTTGCTAATGACTCTGTATAATGTAAAGAATTATACAAAGGAATAGCTCTCGTTGTATGGTGCTTCCATTATACGATACAAATGCACTATTTTATCTGTGTGATATGAGTGCGTCGCTAGTGTCAATGCGTTACTGCTAGTTGCCGTAGTAACTGCCATAGTTATTAGATATTGTCTGTTTGTTTAAACAAGAATCGATATTACCTCATCTCGAATGAAAAATTTTCGGCTCATTTGGCCCGGTTTGAGCGGCAGGGCTCTGTTTTTATTTCAGAATATTTTTTTTTTTTATAAACGGAATTAAAGCTATTTGAAAAATGTATATGTATACTTAGAATAATAACGCATAGAAACCTAGCCCGCACACACTAAGTGAGGCAAATGGAAGCGCTCCCAAAGGGCCTACACGAGCGGGCGGGCCTTCAGTGCTCAAGGTCAACTTGCACCGCGAACAGCTCCAGAATTTTAGCTAAAAATGACGGAATGTGCGGTAAATAAGTGTAAAAATACGTCAGACAAACATAAAAAACATTGTATTTTTATATAAATATTCACTAAAACCCAAAAACTACTACTACTAACTAACTACTACTAAGACTAGCCTACATGAATTTGATTTTTGCCTCACTTGTGACAGTTCGTTTGATATGAAACTATCATTCTATGCGTTATTATTCTAAGTATGTATATATGTATACGTGTTCTATTTGTTCGGTTGATTAAAAAAATCATTGGTATATGTAACGTACCTTTTGAATACAGCTTCTTGTAAAATTTCCAGGTAAGTTTGTGTTTTTTTTTGTATCGTGAAAATTTTTAGGATTCGCGTTTTCACACCGTATAGTAATCAGTGTATCCTCAATTTTACTATACATTTTTTTTCCATAGTAATTGATTCAACACTGTTATGAGGAAAAAGCCATTTGAGGTTGTTTAGTCCCTTAAGCAGCATTAAGAAAACAAGAACGAACAGTAATTAATACTATTTGTTAGTAGTATTTATAACAACACTTTAATACTGCTCTGTACAAATTCATTTATTCCAAAATTTACAAAATGCATTTATGAACAATAATAAAATGTATAACCTAAAGATCAGCACAAGGCTTCGTCAATAGGTAATCTAATACAAAAAAAAAGTGAGATTCACGTTAAATATACTTAATTTAAAAAGAAATCCCGCCCTGTATCGTGCCCGGGGCAAAAGTTCCCATTATACTGGCAGCATTGCCTCGCTGGACAGCAATGGACACCTGCTGAACCAACCGCGACCCAGAGCGGTGATCGCAGCCCCTGTCTCTGAGTCGGCGACCCAACTCTTTAAATAGGTCCCGAGCTTCCGAACCCCAAGGCCCCGCCGTCTCGACCGCGACCGGTACAAAGTCGTACACAGGCTCCAAGGCAGAATATTTCGCGTGTTTTAGTTTCGCGGCACTTTCCTCGGCACATCTGCGAAGTTTGTCTTATGTGGGACGCAGCAAAAGTACTTACGCATGTTGCGTCCCACAGAAGACAACGACCTTTCCGCCAAGGAACCAATGTCAAACCGTCCGGCCTTTTACCGTCTATTCGACTCAGGCCCGGGGGCTCGAGCACACAAGGGACATTAGCCGACACCATCGCCCGTCGCACAATGTCATTAATGGCATGGTGTCTGGGAAAACGACCCGCACACCTTTGGCAGCTCAAACCGTGGTGTCCGTCCTCCCTCACCATAGACCTACACACACAGCGGTGGTGTGGTTCACAAACCTTTAATTCGTACTCGAAATGAGTTCCGACTTAAGTCTTTTTCTGACTTACCCACATTTTTACTCTATACTTTGTGCCAAAATTCAAGATAATAAATGTTACAAAAGAGATTTTAATTCCTAAATAAAATAAGCAATGTTTTTTTTCGGTACGAAACAATGGACTCTATGGAAATACTTGTGGAGTTTAAAATACGTCGAGTATAGAACCAGAAATAGAGACGAAATAAGGGCCATACCATTCCTGGTAACTCATGAGTGATAACATCGCTTATAAATATCAATTCTCGTTTGCACTGAAATATAGACAGCGCCAACAACGGACCTGTGTGTACGTGTCCATATATTCCAAAACATTCTGTACTTATTGTGATAAAGATCATATCTCTAACAATGGCGTGCTGTTCCATTCAGTCGAGCGAGAGCCACATATATTTCGATAGGGTTGTATATAATTACATCATTTTACATTTTATAAAAATTTACCACCCGACGCCAACATCAATAAGTTTTATTTAACAATTTTTTAAAAATTAAGATAAATGATTTTTTGAGTCGCATAAGATATGCAATAAGTCAAAATTCTTTGTTATAAAAATGTGCCTTAAGTCGTATAAATAACGTTGTAATTTGCAGTGTACAATAGAGACACTTTTGCATATCTTAATGTGGCTAGATGTACAACTTATTTCGTTATGCATTTGTATATTTTTATACGTGTGGTGGTGGGAAACATTTGAGTTCGTTCGAAGACCTTCTGTAGAATGTAACTATGTTGTATATACTCGGAATCTTCCAATATTTAAGCAATATTTATGTGAATTAAGTACCTATATGATATTTTATTATAAAAATTATAATAGATTTGAACTTTTGTTGTAAGAATAACTGAATCCGTGACATTTGGCAGAATAAGCAATTTTCAGTTGCAGCTATTAATCCCACTTTGAAAGACAATTTTGCCATATTTTAATGTCGTCAGTTTATTTTATTATGCAATTTTAATCGACTATACTATAAATTGTAATTAGATGTCCAAAATGTTGTTTTTACTTTCAGACAATGAGCCTATAAAGGATATAATTCAGTGAAAAAGCAAAACAAAATGATATTTTGTCTTATAACAAAGTTTTGTCTCCGATTGCTAGGCGCCATCTAGTTAGCTTATTGTGAATTACCGGTAAAACAAACAAACATAATTCGCACCCCTCATGGAAGAATGGCATAAGTGGAGTTACATCAAAAACGTTCATTATTACACACAGAAAAATATAGGTAACTCATATGCTCTTCAATTCTTGTAACTCTATCGACTAATATTGTAGACAGCGTTAGAAGAATCGGGTGTGGGTTATATTTTTCTGTATCTAATGGAGTAATTAAACATGTTTAATCTAGCTCCACTTATGCCACTCTTCCATGAGGGGTGCGAATTGTCTATTACTTATTTTATTATATTGATAATTATTATCCAATGAAGTGCATTGTTTTTGTATAAATGCCAATTTTAACATATATTAAATAATTATCTATTAAAAGAGAATATAATGTTTGTACTTTTTCTATAGTTGGTAATAAAAAAGACATAATAAAATTTGTTTAATTTATTACAACGCAAATAATTAAACACCCTTTCGAATATCAAACGTATTGGTCGCATTGGCCAACATCACCACCATAAACTGGTCTTGTAAATGTTGTTTCGTTGGGACCGCTAATAATGCTGTGTGGCGACTTGTGCTGAAAATGTATAATGATCTTTTCCTACGTAAGATCATTTGTAACAAGTTTTTGATATTATTAATGTTTCTGTCAAACAACACATCGTCGTTGTACTGCGAAAACCAATTATCTGGAATTTTCACAGAAATTGACTAAATATTGGATAACGCGACAAAATTGCTTATATAAAATGCAAACATTTTCAAATTTAGGTAAAACATGAAAAATTAACGTGGGATGACCATAGTATGCATAAGGAATAGTTGTCGTTGAAATTTCAATTGCATTTATTTCAAAGTCGATATTTTGTGAAATAATTGTTTTTCCCAGTATAACGGCGACATACAAGGTCAAAGTCAAAGTCAACCTCTGCGTGGCTGTCCGATATGGTAACCGTTCGACCACGGTAGTTATTTATTTAAAAAGAAAACAGTACAAAAGGAAATTTTATGTGCATTGATGACGAAATGGGTATGTCTATACTAAGAAAATGTTCATACTTAAGGTAAATTAACTCCTTCACTTCCGATGACTTATAATGCTTACGGCGGAATAACAATCTTGCTAACCACAGCATTTAAAGCTTAGATCTGGATGTATACTAAAAAGTTCTAAAATTAGTTGCTCCATTGAATGTACAAAATATGTTCGAGATACAAATTATTTAATAGATAGATCAAACCCACATCCTGTCGCACGATTACACATGGCGGCTTTTGCGGCAGGCAGCGATGCGAACGAGCGATA